GTGAAACATAAATCTGTGGATCTGTGTTTGATTGCTCTGGCTGGCTTTCTCAAGGACCAGGATGTGTGACACAAAAATTTCAATTTTGGAACTGAAAGTGAAAGTAGTCAAACTGAATTTTTAATAAACCAAAATACAATTTCAAATCAAATTAATTCAAATTCAAATAATTAAATTCAGTTTCAAACCATTAAATTCAGTTTCAATTTAGTGAAATTCATTTTCAAACCAATGCATTCAAATTTCAAATTATCCACATTCAGATTCAATCAGAGCAATTCAAATTCAATTCCTGCTGGCACAAGATTTATCCCATACTAATGCCTCTGATGTGTGTCCCATCAGTGTTTGAATGTGATTGGCTCTGATTAGTCTCCACAGTTGATTGTATAAGTTAGCTTTGTAGGAGATCTGGTAGAGTGCTGTGTGAATGGGTAAACGAGGGCACCGATTGWAGGGTGAGGATAGAAAGGTGCTATACAAGTACAGTACATTTGGTCAACCAACCAAAGTGGCTCTGATCTCATCTAAGATTACGGTCTTTGGTCTTTCTCGTCCTCCTCTTCTTCCTCTTACTCTAAAGCTAAAGTTCTGATTGCTAAATGTAAATCCGTGGGGCAGATGTTTGCCCATGTGGTGAGTCGGTGTGCATACAAGTACAATTAACTTTAGTTTTGAATGACAGTGTGTTCATTGTGACAACAAGGGATTTTTTCATGAAAAATGTGCCGAAATGCAGAGAATTGTGTATGACTTTTTAAAATAAATGTATTTTAGAACTTAGATTTGAGTGTAAACCAGGAACTGTGTTTATAGTTTAGCAGACCTGGTTCAAGGGGTTGTTTAAGTTACATGTTGTGGTTATTTTGTTTCGAGTACCAGAAAATATGTGTGAACAATCAAGAAAATTATAATAATGCAATCATTTATGGTACTCTGTGTATAAAGATACAGGATACATTAGAACTGGGCTGTTGTGGAATTGCAGATAGTTTCTTTTCCTGTTTCTGGACGTCGCATAATCATTGATAATATCTCTAAAATAAGCTTAACACCTGTTGGCAAATCCTTAACTATGGAAGAACATTGCATTAACCAAATAAAAAAAATTGACTCCTGATTTCATAATTAAGAGATCTTTTTTCGTAGTTACGAGATAAGATGTCATAATTATGAGATCCTGCTCTCGTAATTATGAGATCAGTTGTCAAATTTTTTTTTGTTTGGTGAATGCAATGCTCTTTCATACCTATCTCTTAAATCCCTATAGTTTTCAAATTGTCATTTACAACAGCATCATAAAATCTATGTTATAGATTGCCACCCCTTGCCTTTTTTTAACAAATTATTCTTTTGTTAGAATCAAGCAGAGCTGAATGTGGAAGAGATAAACCTCTTATGGATTTACTGTTGAGACTTCAAGAAATAAGCTGGAGAAGGTGTTGTCTAATCACTCAAAGGCCTTCTCATCAGCTGAGCTAACAGTCTCGACTGAAGAAGTCTCATTCTTCCACCTCTCTTTGAGCAAACACTGACTAAGATTCGACAAGTTCCTAGGTTTAAACCTGTTGTCCTCCTACAGCAGATCACTGGATTCATTATCCAGCTCAACTCACACACAATGGACTGACCTGTGCTTGAGCTGCTATCTGATAAAAAAAACAGAGCAATTTGGTCTGGTTCTGATATTTCAGTTGGTGTATATAAACATTGGGCCTCATGCAAGAACATGTTCGTATTCTTCTCCTAAATTTCTCTTACTTTTGTTCGTACAAAGGGTTCGTACGAACATGTCACGTCAGATTCAATCTTCAGGAAAAGTGTGTAAATGAGCTGTGTAAATTCCATGTGTTCGTATCCAGCTGCTCGTGCACGCGAGAGGA